AACACCTCTGGTCATTATCCGCTAATTTCCCTGCATACTGGTCAATAGTTAGGCTGGCAGGAAGGGGCTTCCCCTAACAGAAGGTTCCCATAAACAGGGCTAGTGTTGTGTTTCCTATTCCTGCTGTAACAAATTACCACAAATTTCGTGGCTTAAAACAGCATGAGTGAATTGTCTCACAGTTTTGGAGTTCAGAAGAATAAAATGGGTCTCACAGGCCTAAAAGCAAGGTGTCAATGGGCTACGTTTTTTCAGGAGTCTAGGGGAATCTGTGCTCCGACTTTTCCAGCTTCCTTGACTCTTCCATCTTTAAAGCCAGCTGGTGGAACATCTTCAGATCTCTCTCTGACTGTGACCTTTGGCCTCCCTCTTCTACATTTAAAGGATCATTGTAATTGATTACACTGGGCCCCGTCCCCCCAGTACTCCTGGTTATTTTAAGGTCAACTGATTAGCAACCTTAGTTCCATCTGCAACCTTAATTCTTCCTTGCCCAATAACATAACATATTTATAGGTTTTAAGGATTAGACGTGGACATCTTTGGTGGGATTATTCTGGCTACCTACAAGCAGCTTTAAAGTCTGGTGTCCAGGAAGGTCTTCTCTGTTTAGCCATGAAGACAGCTTGCCTCTGGATATGGAAGGTATCTCTGAGAGTCTGAGAACCTGATGGGTCCTCTCTGGGGTTCAGGTTCAAGATCTGCTCCCTCTGAACAAGAACACAGGCGGTGAGCAGAGGTGATCAGCTTCCCAGAGATGGCTCTAAGATTCAGTGGGTTGGCAGGGGTTTTCCCCACTCCCTCCCACTCCACCTACTGCAAAGGATGTGGGCAGGACTGAGCTGGTTCTCCATTCTCCTCACTGCAATACAGGAAAGGACTAATAGAAGGAAATCAGCCAGGCTGGGATTCCCTCCCACATCTCTTTCTAATTTTCCTGCTCTTTGGGAACTCAAGTCTCGAGGAAGAGTACTGAGTACCACGCTGATGGTACCCACCTTCCAGTGGTGAAACAAAGTTCTCTTTTTTCATTTGTGAGTCATTTCAGCAGGAAGTGGTAAGACTGCAAGAGTCAAGTTTGTGTTTGGTTCAATGTCCTGGCTCCATTCCTCTCTCTGTCTCTACTTACCCCCCAGCCCTATCCTCAAGACAGTTTAAAATATGCCTTAACATACTCTGCCTAAGAAAACCCCACCTTATAAACACAGATTTTAAAGGAACATCTCCATTGTGCAAGACAGAGAGATTCCTGGCCTCACCCTAGACAATTCTAATTCAGTAGGTCTGGGGTGGGACCTGGGAATCTGTATTTCAAAATCTTCACTTGTGATCCTGATGTACAGCCACAAAACAGAACCACTGATTTAAAGTTAAGCACATCGGTCCAAAACACTCAAGATGTTAATAATAATAATAATAATAATAATAATAATAATAATGATGTTAGGCATTCTGATATTTTGAATTTATGTTAGAAAATAAAGTAAAAAGTCCTGCCAGGCGTGGTGGCTCATGCCTGTAATCCCAGCACTTTGGGAGGCTAAGCTGGGTGGATCACCTGAGGCTAGGAGTCGGAGACCAGCCTGACCAACCTGGTGAAACCCCATCTCTACTAAAAATACAGAAAATTAGCTGGGCATGGTGGTACACACCTGTAGTCCCAGCTACTCGAGAGGCTGAGGCAGGAGAATCACTTGAACCCAGGAGGCAGAGGTGGCAGTGAGCTGAGATTGCGCCACTGCACTCCAGCGTGGGCAACAGGGCAAGACTCCGTCTCAAAAAAAAATTTTTTTAAAGTCCTTAGACATTTTTTCTTATTGGTCCTACTGCAAATATAACTCTAAAATATAGAATCAACAAGCTAAGTACTATACTAGTAAACAACTCTATGGAAACATAATAAAGTATGAAGAAGCTAGAATTAGCGTCCCCCCCCCCCCGCCCCGCAATTCTGGGGAAAGCCTGTTGTCCTTGATATTTTCTCCGCAAATGCAAATGTAGTGTGGAAGGAAGAAAGGTATTTAGTGTTTGAAGCTAAAAGGTTAGGAAAGGAGCTTTATTTTGCAATATCCCTCCACATCGGTTGAGTAATTTCCAGGTTATAAAGTGTTGTCACAGATATTGCCACGTTAATCCTCACAGTAAAATCCTGAGGTCATCTGGAAAGGTGTCGGGGGAATGCAGGCTCAGAGAGAGCCCACATGTATTGCCTGAGGTGCTGTAGGACTGAAGCCTCATCTGCGTCCTTTCGTATATTTCTGGTGGGGTTTTTTTCTCTCGGCCATTTTGTCTTTTAACATTTGTGGCATTTACAGTGGGACGGAGAAGGCATCTTGTCCACCGGCCTTTATTTCCTAAGAAGGCCTTCCTCTCTCCCCAGCATCTCCCTGGGACCTCGTACCTGAGCGGCAGCCACCTCATAGCCGTCGGGGTTCATGGACGGCAGGATGTGAATGCGCGTGTCCTGGATGAGCCGGACGATGCGCTGGTTCCTGTTCCGGAACTCCTCGCACAGGAACTCCGACAGCTGCAGCATCAGCTCGCGGCCCAGCGCTTCGTTGCCGTGCATGTTTGCCACATACTTGACCTCCGGCTCCACTGCAAGGAAGAAATGCAAGGAAGGGAAAAGATGGGGAAAGCTTGGAAGTGCCACTGATGCCTAGCCTTGCACAAGGACCTTTTTTCTCCTTTTCAGTAATGAATGAAAAAAAAAAAAATTGGGTCTTTTGCAATAATCCCTGAGCTCCTTCTTAACCAATTACAATGACAAAGGCTACAAAATTCATGCCAGGGATAACAATCAGTCCCATTTACTGAGCCCCTGCAGTGTACTAGACAGTTATGTTCAATACTGCTAATCTTCACAGAAAACCTGTAAAGTGGGCAGTAATAGCCTCAGGGTGAGAGAAATAAGGATGGAGGAGGTTAAGTAACTTGTCTGAGGTTGCCTAGCTAATGGCTGTGATGGAGGTCCAAGCCCAGGTGGCACTACAGTGCCATTTACAGTAGCACACTGCTTCTCAGAGACAAACCTTTCAGGATAAGGATGTTTCCCTAGAACCTGCTCTCATGAAGTACTCTAGGTTTAGCATTAACAGCTGCTAATGATCCCAGTTGAAAACTTAATTTTCCTGGTCCTCGAAAAGTTTCTTGCTCCATCTGAACAAGAACACAGCAGGTGAGCAGAGGTGACCAGCTCTGCAGAGATGGCTCTAAGATTGAGTGGGCTGGTAGAGGTTTTCCCCACTCCCTCCCACCCCACCTATGCAAAGAATAGGATTGTGGGCAGGACTGAGCTGGTTCTCCATTCTCCCCACTGCAATTCAAGAAAACTAAAATCACTCCTTCAAATCCAAGCAGGCCAAGTCTGGAGGCACAGAATAGGAAGGCACCTACTATGTCTCATTGCTTAGCCTTCTCTTTGGCCATGTTGTTTAACTTGAGGTGAGAATTGAGGATCTGAAAGCTTCTGGGATCACCTAGAGAAAATCGCTCCATGGCGAGGTGCCGTGGTACACACCTGTAATCCCAGCATTTGGGAGCTGAGGTGGGTCACGAGGCCAAGAGATCGAGACCATCCTGACCAACACGGTGAAGCCCCATCTCTATTAAAAATACGAAAATTAGCTGGGCGTAGTGGTGGGTGCCTGTAATCCCAGCTACTTGGGAGGCTGCAACAGGAGAATCACTTGAACCTGGGAGGCGGAGGTTGCAGTGAGCCAAGATCATGCCACTGCACTCCAGCCTAGTGACAGAGCGAGACTCCATTTCCCAAAAGAAAAAAAAGAAAAAAAGAAAGAAAGAGAAGAAAATCATTGTTGCCCTTATTTATGTATGTATTTAGTTATTTGGAGACGGCGTCTTGCTCTGTTGCGCAGGCTGGAGTGCAGAGGCGTGATCTTGGCTCACTGCAACTTCCACCTCCCAGGTTCCAGCAATTCTCCTGCCTCAGCCTCCCAAGTAGCTGGGATTACAGGCACCTGCCACCACACCCAGTTAATTTTTTGTATTTTTAGTAGAGACAGGTTTCACTGTGTTAGCCACGATGGTTTCAATCTCCTGACCTCATGATCTGCCTGCCTCTGCCTCCCAAAGTGCTGGGATTAAAGATCTGAGCCACAGGGCCCAGCTCTTGCCCTCTTTTAAAAGAAGAGGCTCTTGCAAGTGATTTCTCTCCCACCCAACACTTTCCTGCCTCCACGACTTTTCTGGTTCTGTACCTCTTCATCTTCTCATTTCCAGATCCTTCTCACCACCCTTCTAGGCCCAGTCCACATGATACTCTGGGAAGTAATCCTGGGTTCTCCTTGATGAGAGAGAGCGCTCCTCTGTTGACTTCCTGGGTTTTACTTTTTTTTTTTTTTTTTGAGACAAGAGCCTTGCTTTGTCACCCAGCCTGGAGTGCAGTAGTGCAATCCTGGCTCACTACAATCTCCGCTTCCTGGGTTCAAGCGATTCTCCTGCCTCAGCCTCCAAACTAGCTAGGACTACAGGTGTCTGCCAGCACATCTGGCTAATTTTTATATTTTTAGTAGAGATGGGTTTTCACCATGTTGGCCAGGTGGTCTCAAACTCCTGACCTCAGGCGATCTGCCGGCCTCAGCCTCCCAAAGGGCTTGAATTACAGGTGTGAGCCACGGTGCCTGGCAGGGTTTTACCTATTTTTGTACGTGTTCTGTTTCCTTTACTGGACCTGGCCTTAGCAGTGTACATAATTTTTAATTTGTGACACCATCCATTATTATTTATCTATCTACAGCAGTTTTTCTCAGAGGAATGCTGATAACCCACAAGAATCATGTGGTAGATTTTCTATTGTGGGTATTCTTTAATCTTAGTGTATTTTTTTTTAATTGTAGATTATGTCTTTCTTACTTTTCTTGGTGTTAAAATGTCTTTTCTGTTAGAAAAGGATGGATATAATAGATGGCAGGTAGTTTCTTCACATCCTTATTCAGTAAAATAAAATTTGGAAGATCTGTTTTAGTTATCTCCAGTCTCTTATTTAAAAGAAACTTTTTAACTGCTTTATGAAATCTATAAGTCTGGGACTATCCTATGGAATTTTGGACAGTGCCATGCACTTAGTAGATGCTTAATATCAGATTCTTTTGGTTCTCCTTTTTCTTTTCATTCTTTCATGTATTTATTTATTGAGATAGGGTCTTGCTCAGTCATTCATGCTGGAGTGCAGTGACACAATCATAGCTCCAGGCAGCCTCTCAAATTCCTTGGTTCAAGCCATTCTCCCACCTCAGCCTCCTGAGTAGCTGGGACCGCAAGTGCACACCACCACGCCAGGCTAATTTTCTAAAAAAATTTGTTATAGAGACAAGGTCTCACTACGTTGCCCAGACTGGTCTCAAACTTCTGGCCTCAAGCAATCCTCCCAAAGTACTGGGATTACAGACATGAGCCACTACAGCCAGCCTCTGCTGTCAATATATCTAGAATACAACCACTTCTCCTAACAATCACTGCTATCATTTTGGTCAAGCCCCTGTACCCTCAAGCTTGGTACTATTGGCAATATTAGGTCATTGCCACAAATCTCCCACTTGGTCTCCCTGCAGCTGCCTAGCCCCTCTAAAGTCTATTCTCCAGAGTTAGGGATTGACAAAACTTTTTTATAAAGGACTAGAGAGTAAATCCTTTAGGCTTTGCGGGCTGTGCTGTCTCTGTCAAGGCTACTCAACTCTTCCAGCAAAAGCAGCCATGGACAAGATAAAAGTGAATGGGCGTGACTGTGTTCCCATAAAACATTTACCAAAACAGGTGGCTAGCCCTCAGGCTGTAGTTTGCTGACCCCTGTTCTGAGTGATCTTTAAAAACTTTGAGTCAGATCGAGTCTCTCTTCTGCTTAAAAAACCCTCCAGTGGCTTCTCACTTGACTCAAAGTAAAAGCCCAAATCTTTACCAGGGCCTATGAGGCCCTGCATGATGTCGTATTGCCTGGTGGCCCCATCACATGGCTGTGACCTCCTCTCCTGCTCTCCCCTCGTTCACTCAGCTACAGCCGCACTGGCCCCCTTGCTGTTCCTCACATGTGCCAAGCATGCTCCAGAGCACTGCCTTTGCTCTTCCCTCTGCCCCCATCTTTTCCTCCCCAATGTCAGCACAGCATGTGCCATCACATCATCCTGCAGCTCTCCTCAAAGCCGCCTCAGTGGAGACGGCTCTCCTGAGCACCTCTCCCCGTCCTCCTCCGTGGCATCCCTATCTCTTTTTCCTGATTTAGTTTCCTCTACAGCACTTATTTCCATCTGATGTAATATGTATTACTTAGTTACCCATTTATTGTCAGTCTTACCCCCACTAGAATTCAGGTCCATGAGGGCAGGGTCGTTGTTTTATACTCTGCTGTACTTCCAGAGACTACAAAAGTGCTTGCATATTATAGATTGGTAAATATTTGTGGAATGGATGAAGGAATGAAAGGAATGAATGAGTGAATAGCAGTTATAGTGCTTCAGAGAAAAGAGGGAATAGTGAGGGCCAGAGTCCTATGAAAAAGCTTCAAGGAAGGCTTTGAATGCTAGAAAGTACAGGAGCACCAAGAAGGAGGCTTGGAGTGTTGGGGGGCTAACCCCATGATGTCCATGAACACTCGCAAGCTTCCACAGTGAACACATGATCTGATTGACAGCAGGCTGCTTGCTATGAAAGTGCAGCTTTAAAGTGAGGCAATTATCCTAGGTAACCCCATGGCCTTCTTTGAGCCGCCACCATGCAATATTCTGAATTTCAGAGCCAGTCCATTGAGTGTGAGGCTTTTAAAGCAGGAAAGTGGGATTATGTAAGGATTTAGGAAAATTTTTCTAGCATCTGTGTACCAAATGGAAGGTTCAAAGAGTGCAGCAGTTAGAAATTAGAGAACTGGCTGGGCATGGTGGCTCACGCCTGTAATCCCAGCAGTTTCGGATGCCAAGGTGGGTGGATCACTTGAGGTCAGGTGTTCGAGACCAGCCTGGCCAACAGGGTGAAACCCTGTCTCTACTAAAAATAAAAGAAATTAGCCAGGTGTGGTGGCACATGCCTGCCAGCTACTTGGGAGGCTCAGGCAGGAGAATGGCTTGAACCAGGGAGGTGGAGGTTGCAGTGACCTGAGATTACACCACTGCACTTCAGCCTGGGCATCAGAGCAAGACTCCATCTCAAAAAAAAAAAAAATAGAGACCAGTTAGGAGTTCAGCGCAATCATTCAGGCAGCTTGTGATGGAGTCTGGATTCGGGCAGGGGATGTGGAAGTGGAGAGGTAAAGGGAGATTTGAAGTTGACAATTTGAAGGAGGAATTGGTAAGGAAAGCAATGAGAAATTAGAAACAACTTGAATGTCCATCAATACATGGACAGTTACATATAGTCATGCAATGAGCTGTTACGCAGCCAACACCACGATGATGAAGATCGGTACTTGTAGACATGGATGCTGTCCATACAGATTGTGAAATGAGAAGGGCAGTTATAATTTGAGTCCATTTCTATAGAAACAATTACATGTGTTTGTGTCGGGGGTTTAAATATGCATAGAAAAAAGTCTGGAAGGATATACATCAACAGGTTAACAGTGGTGGGATTTGGGGTGAGTTTTATTATTTTTTCCTTATCTAATTTCTAAATTTAATCCAAACATGGATTGCTTTCTATAGTAGAAAAAAAACTAAAAAAGAATCCAGGCTGGGTGCAGTGGATCATGGCTGTAATCCCAACACCGGGAGGCTGAGGTGGGCAGATCACCTGAGCCCAGGAGTTTGAGATTACCCTGGGTAACATGATGAAACCCGTCTCTACTAAAAATACAATAAGTAGCCGGGGGTGGTGGCACATGCCTGTGGTCCCAGCTAAGTAGGAGGCTGAGGGGAAAGGATCACCTGAGCCCAGAAGGTCAAGGCTGCAGTGAGCTTA